AAAAAGCAGTTGAAACTGCATTTTTATGAATAAAAATTTGACAAACTATTTATTGTTTTATGACGAGCAAAACCTTTTTGTCGCATTCGCGGCTTTTAAGTAAGCATAAACCTTCAAGGCGTGAGGCCCTTCGGACCGTGAGGCATAAGCGGTGGCCCACGTCGTCCATTCCGTGCACCGTCCTTGCTCATAGAAATGATGTAATTTGAATATAAATTATTTATAAATACGTATGTCAAGTTATATTTTTATTACGACGTAAAATATATTTAAGAGTTTACGACCACTGTGCTGGGTGAGACATTGTTGAAACAAAAAAAGTTATGCATTCCATCACGTACATAAACAGTGTCATAATTCGCCAAGTGCAAATCAGCAAATTCGTAAAATTTTTGTTTATTTTGAACAATCCGGATAATAGAGGTCCGGATAATCGAGGTACTACTGTATTTTAAAAATATATGTATAAAGCACCTCTAGATTTTAATATACATTAGTTACTATGTATATTTAATTAAATATGAATATATAAGAAAACAGATCTGTCAATAAAATTCTTCTGATATATTACGAAAAGAAAACTAATGAATTAATATAAAAACAAAATTTTTTAAAATTTCATTCTGAAATATTTTTTCACAATTAAAAAGATTTCTGTCTGATAATTTTTTTTATTAGACAAAAATCTTGTAGAATATTTTAAACTTAAAATTTATATTTCATAAAATTTTGTTGAAAGACTTTGCTAACTTGTAAGTTATTAAAAAAAAAATTTCTTTTTGCAGATATTTTTTAATTGTTTGTTTAAAAACATGAAATGTAACTGAATTTTTATAATTTACCTTATTTATTTAATAACATTAGTTGCACTAGAACAATAATTATATATAAATATTGTGAATAAATTTAACAGCAATAATAGAAAACAGATTCAATGAAAATAAAATAAATGTCAATAGGATAGAGCAAGAAGAAAACTATAAAATCTCAATATTGTTGATCCTTAATATAAGGGTAGAAGAATGATATAGGAGAAAGTGATGATCTAACAATACCAATTGTCTGTTGTAATTGAAGATATCATGGTCAACTACAAAACAAACTTTGTATGAGATATAATAAAATATACAAACAGCTGATAGTGCAATAAATGAGAGAAGAAAAAATATCACACTTTCAAGAAATAATGTAAACAATAGCTATCAAGGTATTGCCTAGGGGACATCTCATGCACAAAAATTATATTTCCACTCTAATAGATGCCTTAAAATAAGCATATTTGGTCCATTGTTTCAAAAATCCATTGTATTCGAATCCATAAAATCAAGGGTCAATAATTTTTTTTGCTGCAATTAATATTTAATTATACACTAATACTTGATGTGAATATTTTGTATGAACTACTCATCCAATTTTCAGTGTAGGAAATCATGAAACCAAATTAGATTAAAATAAAATTAAATGTTTAAATTTTTATTCATTATTTTTGTTAATTTCATTCAGGATAATCTTTGTCAACTAAACAATGATAGAACAGAAAAAACAGAATTTATGATATAAATTACAGAAGCAGGAAAACAATTTTTAAATTAAGATTTAAAAAATTTATATTAATTTTAAAAAATACAAAATGTAAATGTATAATAAATATATAACATAGAACATTAATATGTAAGTGTTATATAAAATATCAATAATCTACAATATCAATACAATAAACAATTTCAAGATATCAATAAATAATCAGAAGAGATATATACTCAATAGACTCAAGAGATATAATCAATATAGACTTTTTTCATGAAGCAATAAACCTTGATTATTGACAAAGCTGATGGATGTGATAAAAAAGATAAAAGATATAATTTTATATGACCACTTTATATATGTGCTATTGTAATAAGTATATTTGGCAAAAAAAAAGAAAACCACAAACTAATTGAATATCATTAATAAAATATAACAATTTCATTGATATGATTGATTTATAAATAATATCCAATGTTATTAATTTGCTTTGAAGTTTATATATATATATTAAAGCCAAACCATAACCAAATTAACAGATTTTTTATAGAGATATCTTTTAGGTAATTAGAAATTAATTATAAGCAAATTCAACTCAATCTCAAATGATATAACTGATAACACAGCCCATATGCAAGGATTAAGATTCAGATTCTGCTCCAAGCCATTGTTTTCTTTAAATGTCTCAAGATGTATTAAAGTAAACTAAAAAAAATCATTATCTAATTACAGTATTAAAATTATGATATAATACAAATGAAAGTTTTGAAATATTTTTAACTCTTAGTAACTCTTGGAAGATTATAGAGAAATAGAATTTATTAACTCTAAAACTCTGTTTAATATATATATATATATATATGTTAAACAGAAAACGTATATATAGAAAACATACATTTATATATTCATTTCTTTTTTCAAAAGACACTGGCTTCATTTTCAAATGTACCAACCATCAATTGAACATCAAAAGTTAGTTTAAGAATAGCTTTTTAAATTTTTTTGATTGATTACCATAGTAATCTTTAGTAATCTTTTTCTAATTTATATAATATCTTGTTCCATTTTAAGATTATGATGTAGTATTTAGTATAAAGCAAAATAAAATTACGGTAATAAATCAAAAGAACTTAAAAAAAACTGTTCCTAAACTTTTAACTTCTGTTGAAATTTGTTTTAAAATGAAACTGGAACGTGTGGAAAACATCAATACATAAATTAAAATTAGAATGGACTTATACAATTAAAACAAGGACTTATTGTTGTGAGATAGTACCTCAATCCATCTTTAAAACCAAATTCATTTATAATTAATTTCAAATTGTTTAAAGATAGTCCAATAAAAAATTCAGCATTTATTGTCACTGGATATATTGTGAGACAATACTAAAACTTCATAACAAGACTTACTCTAATATTTTATTAGAATATTTAAAAACTACATAAATGAATAACATATAAATTAGAAAAAAAGCTGAACTCACAAATTTATATCTTCATACTTTTTTATCATCATTATTTAAAAAAAAAATTTTTTTGGCTTAAATTAATATCTTTCTAATTCTTCTGTGCTAACAATTTTCAGCTGATGAAGTTAATTAAAAAATTTAAACTAATATATAAATTTTGCATTATGTATATGAGTTAGTTTTCTAAAAAAATAAAAAAAAATAAAATAAATCATTAATAATATATGAAATTTTGTTATATTACATATCAATTGTCCTCAAAGGATCCAAAATAACCTTATTTGTGAACCAAATTTATAGTATAACAAAAATATATTTAACACAAAATATCCATTTAAATATATATAATTAGAAATAATTTATAAATAATAGTGGTATCTACAAATATGAAAAAATAATTTTTAGATATGTTTTGTTGAATGCACATTCGTTATCTTCTTCCATTTATACACGATACTTCATAATTTAATGACAGTATATTTTATGAAGATTTTACCTATACTTTCATTCAAAATTGTGTGATGTCTTACATATAGCCTGAAGAAGACCTAATTAAAGGTTGAAAGCACTAATTTTATAAAATAGCAATTAAATTTGCATTATAGAACAATCTTTATTTTAATTAGATCTGATCAACTTGTTTTTGCAGCATATTGCAATATATTTCTTCTCTTTTATTAATTTAGGTTTTTATATATCAAATAAAAACATACTGTTATAAGTATAATCCTATTATACACTTTCAACATTAAGATTTTCTTTATGATTATTCTTAATATATTATAAGTAAAATTTTGTAATTTTAATTTAAATTGTAGCTTCATTTTTCTGAATTTTTGTAACATACTAACAGAACTTCTGAGTAATAAATTATGTAATTCAAAAATCAATTTTTGTTAAAATTTTAAAATCATCACAGGTTGAAGTAATAATTAAAATTCAGTATTTCATGTAAAGTAGAAATGTTTCATAAACATTAAAGACTTTAAATAAATTATCATCATAAGACTTCCATGTTCAAATCTCAATACATAAATATATAAAAAAAAATTCACTTTTTAATAAGTAAGTTATGAGTAATTTGGTAATTTTAATTAATATTTTCAATAAAAAGATATAATAAGTATTAATTATGATATTTATTAAATTAAAAAAAAATCATATTAAATTTAAAAATATATATTACAAATAAATTTCATAATAATAATAATATATTTTAAACAAATTAGAAGGAAAATATCATAAAAACTTAACAGAATTACTCACAGATACTTCTTCACTTTCTTCTTGTTCTGTTTCTTCCGTCTGATTTGAACTTTCATTAGTCACCTGTTTTGAAGAATCTGCTACAAAATCTTCCATTTCGACCTGAAGATATTTTAGAGTTTAAATGACAATTAATTAACATCTTTCGTTCTAAAATATTTTGAATTAAATATGAAAAACGACATAATATTTCCCTTAAATAATAAGAATTTATATTGTTCATAATTAACATAACTATACATAATACTGTGCTATATAAAAAAATTCATAACTTTTAACTATTAAATTATAATCACATATAAATATTACAATTATAGTTTGAAATTATGACCATATAGAATGAGTTACACACTATTTCCAACAAAACAAATGATTTACAATTATTTTGTTTGTTTTAAATATGTATATATATAATTTATATAAAATCTCATTGCAATTAGATTCACTGAAGTTTATACATTTAGCTTAGAAAATAATGGACTGATCAAATCCAACTGATGTAGATAAAGATTTTCTGAAAATCACATATTTATTTTAATTTAAATCATAAATTAGAATTACATTTTCAAAATTTCAAGAAAGCAAATAGCTACAGATTTGCAGAAGAAGGGTTTATGTTACAAGAGTTATGTTTATAAAAAAAAAGTTTATGCTAATGCAACCATTGCCAATTTTTTTTTTCCAGTCTTTGTCCTCTGAGCTTTTCTCAACTTTTATGGATACCCCTCATTTTTTTCTGCTACCATATTGTTATGATTTCTTTACACATATTGAGCTAATGTACTGTACATTCCCCTAAAATACATATGTACTATACAACAATGCTTTTCTTCATTAAAAGTAGAGAAACAGCATCAACTATTTAAATTAATTTTCTATTTTTCTGACTTTACACTTTAGAAATTTTTATTGCTATTTTTCACCATGTTATGACTATTTTTCAAATCTAAAACAACAACAAAAAAAAAATGTAATAAAATATGATATTAATCATTACTTATTATTTATATTAATTAAAAATATTATGTGGAGATTTTAAATAAATAAACATGAGGATAACACAGATTTGAATTCTGTTAACATAATTAAATGAAAACAAATTCAAAGACTAAAAAATAACTTAAAAATAAAAATTCATATTGCTTAAAAGCTTTAGTGAATATTAAAACTGGTAATTTTTTTAAAGATTAAATTCTTATGATTTGCATCAGATTTATTTATTTTCAAAGAACAAACTCTAGCAAAGTTCTTTAACATTTTTCTCACAACTATAAAATATTTTTGTATCAAATTTATTATTTAAAATGAATAAAAAGCAATACTTCTTATATTACAAATGCAATAAGACAACTATTAGATTTTATTCATAAAAAAAAATTAAACACTTTGACAATATTAAGTTTTTAAAGAATTTTTACCACATTTACTTGCGTATGAGATGTTCTTGCATATAGGACAAAGTGTGACTTTAGAGATCAAAAGAAAGAAAATTAAATCTATTAATACAATTCTAATTTTGTTTCATTTAATCACAAATAAATTATTATCAAATGCACACATTAAGGCAAACAACCATGTTTCCCTTAATACATGATGGATGAATGGAAAACAAAACAAAATCATCATAATACGCATGACCAGAAAAAGTTTATATTTAATGATTCAGAATATGCTAATATTCATTAAAAATAACAATTTAACTAATATGAAATAACTACATTTATAATAATTGCTAAGTGATCTGTATTTCATTAATGATTTTATAAATAACGAGGAACTATTTTCTGCAAATGAATGAGATGCAATGTGTGGTTTTAATTGATAACCGTCGGATTAAATCAATAAACAAAGGGGAGTGTGTCTTAATTTACAATAAATAGACGGCAGATCTATAATGGCAGGATGAACTATACACAGTTCACAGAAATTATTGCAAAAATGCTTTTGGTTTTAGACCAAATAATCACAGATCTTAAAAAAATAAAATAATTTTATTTGGAACTGGGGTACAAGGACTAGCACCAGTACAACGCATGTGGTAAGAATGAACTCGAGAGAGAGACAAAGACTGTGTGGGGAATGAATTGAAGTGTTGCCAGGTTGGCCACAATGCAAAGAATCCTTTGCTCGCACATATAGGACAACCTAGGTTTTTGAAGCACTGAAAAATTAATGAAAATCTCGTATTCTACATGAGTAAATATGGTATCTGCAGATGACATCTTTCTTTAAATTTTATTTTATCCTATGTAAAATATCTCATGTTTATACACAGTGTTTCTGTTTAAATTTCTCTCAATATCCATGTTTTCTTGAGCCATTGTTTCCTTATTATAGTCTATTGAGAATAGACTTTATTTGTATTTTTATCATTTAATTTCTTTATATGTAATAATTTAAATGCTATTTCTCAGTAATTTTATAACTATATTGTATCATATAAGATTTATATGCTAGTTTTATTTTATTATTAAAAAGGAAAGATAATTCCTATATGATTATCATCTTATAAAGCCTATTCAATAAATAAATAAAATATTTTCTTGACCCCGTCCTCCAGTCTTATATATATAAGGTGCGTTTCAAATTTATACAGACACGAAAAAATTAAAGTGAAACCCAAATTTGCTGCATTAAGTGACAAATGTTTTATTAAAAATAATATGGATTTACATATTTCCACACTGCAAAATAAGAATTTTCATCAAACATTAACATTTTGTCACTGAAAATAATATTTTTGAAAATTTTGTACAAAAAAACTGTTACATATTTATCTAGACAGGCACTCATTTCAGACTTAAATAGAATATTGTTTAGTTTCAAGCATAAAAATATGCAAATTAGCTTACATATCTAATTGTAATACAAATTCTTTATGTTGTTCAAAGTTCTAAAATTAATAGAGCAAAGAATTTATCTGATTATGAAAAAGAGCAGATTGATGCCTATAAATCACAAGGCAAGTCAATAAGAGAAATTGCAGCATATATAAATCATCCAAAATCAACTGTTGGTGATTATTTATCAAAAAGACGTGGCAAGGATGTACCAAAATTCAAGACAGGTCCAAAACCCAAGCTTACTCCTCGAGATTGTAGACAAATCATCAAGGTTTGCTCCACAAAACAAACATCAGTAAGAAAAATAAAACAATTAGATTTGCCTTGTAGCTGCACAACAGTGTAAAGAGTTTTAAATAAATCTCCAATATTAAAATTCAGAAAAAAAGCTGTAATGCCACCACTTTCATTAAAGCACAAAAGTGACAGACTTGACTGGGCACAAAAACACATGACATGGTCCAATGTTCAGTAATGAAAAAAATGGATGGTTTAATCGGAAGTATTATTGGCATGATTTAAGAACTGAAAAACAAATATTTTCAAAATGCCAAATGGGTGAGGGATCAATAATGGTGTGGATGTGTTTGGATTCAATGGAACCACATATTTAGCATATTGTCGTCAAGGAACCACATATTGTCATAAAATAACAATGTGGATTAATAACATTGTTAATAAGGATGTTTGTTTCATGAATGCATACAAACATTGTTATACCTTATAACATCAAAATATTTCTGTTATTTTAGTAATAACACATTCATAAATTCAACCCTAGAATTTTTCATAAACAATTTAAAATGTTTTTATCTAGAAAGCTTGAAGAAAAGAATATTTTGTAGTCAAATTGATCATTTGTAATAGATTGTATTGATGTAATTAATAAATATTTTAAAAATAATTCATAAAAATTGCCAACAAATAAATACCACTTTAATTTAATGGTCATATTTTGTCATAAAGGTAACCATAACATCTTTATTTTGATCAGTATTAATAATCATTTTGTTTTAAATAATTCTTACCTCAGGTATAGCAACATCTTGTAGGATACTTCTAATATCAACACGAAGATAATATTTAGGTGTTGGTTCCCATTTACTAATTAACTGAAACAACAAAGTTTTTATACAAATTAAATAAAATTTGAATTTAAATAACAAACAAAGCATTTCAATACAAACTACTTATAAAAAGTTAATTATTTTCACACAAAATATTTTAAAAACTTAATGTATGTATAATTTTATTTAAATTTTATGTTCTGAACAATTAAAGAATACTTCTCAAGAACTGGAATTATATTCAAAATATTCTAACAAATATTTTGAATATCTCATTTCAGAAAATATTTCTACAATTTGATTATAAAAATAATTATTTATTGTTTTATTGTTATACTTATTGAATAAGCTAATTAAACTTTGCATATATTTTCTAGATAAAAATATAAGTACATAAAAGAGCTATGTTAGTTTAAGTTTCTTTACTCATAATACAGACTGATATACATTAGTAATGCAATACAATTATTAACTTTTGCATGAATTTAATCATGAGTATTTGAAATGAAATAAAAGTACAATTAACAATCAATATAACTGAAGACCTTGGGCAAGAATATGCTAACTCATTTTTTCACATTTCACCCTAATACATCCTAAAATTCAAATTTGCCCTGTATTTAGTACAGATCACAGGTGATTACAGATTAATAAGCAATCTGAGAAGTTATGAGTCACGACTCTGGCAATCATATGCTGTGTGTGTAAAAATTCAACAATGTTCAGCAAAACTATTGAGATAACACAGAAAAAAATAACGTATATCACTATCTGTCAGCGCTACATAAAAAACATGAATAAAATTGGATTAAAATAAAATATAAAAATAATAACAAATTAAACAATCAATAAACAAATAATAAACATATAACAATGCAATGCCCTATGAGGTGTTTTATTGGAAACCATGTGATTTACAATTTTAGAAGATTAAATAATGCTATACCCAACTCTGGTATATCTGGCATGGGAGAATTGCACGATGACATTGTTGAGATGTAAAAGGATTCCAATATGAATAATGTTTTTCAATCCCCACAGCATTTTAGGAGGAAAGTTTGCAATCAAAGCAGCTCAAAGTTACTCTCTCTTGCTTTTTTAGCTAGCTCTGTTGTTCATTTGTTACATACTATATCATTATGATGTTCTGCAAGACAGAGTCAAATAGTCTATCTGTAGTGCAACATGATAAATCTAGAATCAATAAAATAGTCCTTATTTTAAAATCAAGATAATGAACCATTAATTTTTGAGACAAGATTTCTAAACAATTGAAAAAAATTCAGCAACAAATTACATAACTTTCCTCGCAAAAAACTTAAAATTGTGTGAGTTGCCATCTATTATGAGATTTTATTTGAAATCTTTTTATATTATTAATTATTATAAAATAGCAAAAAGCTTTATTTTGAGGGTAGAAATGAATTTTATTAAAAAAATTTTTAATGCTAATAACAAGTAAAACCATTAAGTCCAACCCCACTTCAGATACCAACACATAACCTCCCCTCTATCTCCTCACCCTCTTGACCTTTAATGACCAAAATTTAATAGCTTCTATGCCCTAACACACAAACCTCCCTGCAAAATTTCAGAAATTTTTGAGAAAAGGTAAAGGAGTTAAGCTTTCAAAGTGGGTGAACAAAATCAAGTCACACACACAAACATCCATACATACAGAAAAACTGCCTAACTGGTTTGCATTTCTCAACATTTCAAGGTCCTGAGTTCAAAAATGTAAAAATCTTAATGAATCATTTTTTGACCAATAACAACCAGGAAAGTAATAGTACATTATTCCAGATTTGTGTTTATTGTTTCCAAGACAATTCAACAAACAGATATAGGTAGGAAAATAAGGAAGTATAAGAAGAAAATTAAAAAAATATAAAAATTGTCTTTAAGTTATATTAATCCAACTGATAAAGACAATAATAATAACTATTACTTGTTAAATTTTAATGTTTTAATATAAATCAAATTTTTATATGTGAGAAAAATTATAAATGATGTTATAACAAAAATAATAATAAATGATAATGAGCAGAGGCTGGCAAATTACGAAGAACACTTTTTCCTGTGGATGATGTTTATGTTGTTTATGATAGCAAGAAATATATTAATTTAAAATAATATGTTTAATTAATATTTATAAATCTGTGGACTCATAGAATTTTCTATTCTTGATTGTTCTGCAGATGCACAGAATTTCATGTTCTACTAAAATCTAAAGCAAGATAGAATGTCAGATATTTAAAATCACAGAACTCAACTTTCAATCTCTCTTTACACGTACACTTGCCTCATGTTGGTCTCATGTTGCTGTCACAAAATGCTGTAGTAAATGGATACTCCACATACAAAAGAATATGCCGAGAACAATTGGACTGTTAACAGAACAGCTAATGTAATCAATGCTTTCACAAATATTACTTGCAGAAAAGGTTTTCACTTTAATACATTCATTCATCTTGGAACTCTTTTACAGTAAATATTGTGTAAAAGAGTTCCAAGATGAAGGAATGTATGAAAGTGAAAATCTTTTATGCAAGTACTATTGCAAAATCATTGATTACATTAGAAAAAATACAATAAAAATATCATTGTCTACCTTATGTGATATAAGTCTGTTTTACTGGAAATGGAAAAGTTTAATGTCTTCCACAAAATTTCCAGGTGTTGGATAACTAGCCCATAGATTTTAACAAATTTTTCCACATATTTTGCCTGTCTCTGGAAATGAGTCATTATAAAAGAGCAAAAAATTTTTTACCTTTTTTATGTCTTCTAGACTTCGTTTATGTATATTATGCTTATAGCATGCATTTGGATCAGTATTATCCATCTCAGCAATATATACCTTCAATCATTATTCAAAGTACAATTTAAAAAATAATAATTTATATATAAAAGTGTTTGTTTATTTTTTTTAAAATTTAATTATTTATAATAATAAAAATATAATATATAAAATCATTTTACTTGAAATCCTCTTTGTTTTGCATAACTCCAAAAATTCTCAAAATTCTTTACTTTGTCATTGATAGCATCAACAATGATAAAGGGAAAGAATCTATCATCGATGGTTTTCTTAAAAGATTTGAAGAGACTACTTTGATAAATATCTTCCATTTCAGCTTCGTATTCATATTCAAATTCCTTGTAAATTATAATGATCATTGAGTAATTAAGTTTTTATCAAAATAATAATATATTCAAAAATTACAGTATTTAAATTTATGTTTTAATTAAGTAACTAGTTTTTAAGCTAAACAGCTTATAATCATCATAAATAATTGTGTTTGCAGAAAATATTATGATTTTATTATATGTTCATCTCCAGAATGTAGTTAAGAATTTATTACTAAAATGATTTTTCAATATGATATAAAATTTTAAGTTTTTTAATTTTGAAGACTTAATAATTGTAATTCTTTGAATCAATTAACACTTAAAAATTTGATAACTCAATTTTAAATATGAAAAGAATTTATAGGCTAAGTGTCTCATTAAAGTTTTATTAGTATAATTTTATAGACAACTGAAAGTGGAATTTTCAATTTCAAAACTATTGAAATTATATATAGTAGAATGCTGATTATCTGAACTGATTCATTTTGCAGGTGATTCAAATAATTAAAAATTTGGATAAATAGATTATCATGTAAATAATGAAATTACAGGGAAATAGCTCAGTATTATACTGTACATGTACTGTATTTATTTATTAATCAATGTACAAATAGCATACTACTGATCATTTGGATTTGTCACAGCAAATATGCATAACAGCATGTAATTGCATGACATAAGAGAATTGCAGTGTGACATCAATGGGAATGAGAAAAGAGGACAAGTGATGGTTTGGATAACCAGGCATTTGGTTAATCAGCATTTGGACAATCAGAGTTCTATTGTAATTTTTTATATTATTTAAAAACATATATTGTATTATTAAAAGTTACTAATATAAGTTACTGTAATAAGAAATAAACATATATGTATATAATAAAATTAATTTAGAAGTTCCATGTTACCTTTTTCTTAATTCTTTTACCAGTATCAGGATCTTTAACTGTTTTTTCTGTTTCAACCATAAAGTAATCATCTAGACAGAGCATTCTGGGAGCACTGCCACCATTTTCGACTTCTTTGTCCTAAATTAATATATTATTTATTTTTGTTTTACCCTTATGAAATTCTAATAAAAATAAATTAATACAAATATTCACAATCAAAACAATATTTGGAAATATATTAGCATGACATCTGGCCTTATTTTATACAACTGCATCCTTATTAGTAGTAGTAATAAATAAAATCTTATTGTCTATATAAAAATTAAAGCCACATATTTTATATGTTAATACAGAATAAAATTTTGTTTTACAAATTTGATCATTAACTCACAAAATTAGAGAGAATTAAAATCATAGTGATATTTACATATTACAGTAAAACCTCAATTTAATAGACTAATTTGGGCAAGGGGTGTGTGTTAAAGCTAAAAGTTTGTTATATAATAAAGCAATTTTCCAAATGCATGTGTTAAATAATTGACAATTTAGTTTATCTACTTTTACTTATGTGGATATGTATTTGTATTAAAATTAAATATGTATGAGAAGTTTAACTTCAATAGCTTGAAAGTGTTCATTGAATAAACAATTCTTATAAAAATTCTAATTTTCAAATGTTATATCCGGTTTTCTAAATTTTAAAAGTTAATATAAAACTACACAAAACTTTATTAAAAAATTTCAGTACTTATATGTATAAAATATCTATAATGAAGAAATTGTCTGTTTGTGTGAAGACAATATTTAAATGACTTTTTCAAAATTGAAATTCTAATATCGAACTTTAGTAGCAAAATGCACCAATAAAAAACATTTTAACTGAATAACAATACGTGTCTTAGTTTTTCAGTTAAAATTTGAAAAAAGTAATTACAAGTGTTAAATTCTATTTTTTAAAAATAAAAAAGTAGTGTTTTATCCAATAAGATTTATTTTGAGAGATAATAAATTTGATCTTATTTATTTACATCAAATTTATTATTCCATCTTCAGAACTTTCAAAAAAAATTATGAGATAGAATTAATAAATTTCTTAAAAAAAAACAATTTTTACAAATAAATTAAAAGAATTGTTTAGGACATGATTATATTGAAATATTTCACCTTAAAAGTAGAATTACTATATTGAAAAATCATGTAATTTGTGAATCACAACACGAAATGAATTCCGTGCCATAAAATGTAATATTTCTTTAAATATTATAATACTCATATAATAATACATATTTGATAATGCAATATTTTTCTGAACTTTGATGTTTTACAAAAAATATGCTTAATCTCCTGAAATTAATTAAATATTTCAAAATTTAATGGCATAATGAATATCTGGAAATTTACATTTTCAATGTAATAATGATGTTTTTATCATTTCTAGTCCTAAACAATTCTTATTTTAAACATTGTCAGAGATAAGAACTCTTTAAATAATTAGAGACAAAAAATTAAATAACAATAAACAAAGGGAAAAATTTATATTAATACCTTAATCAATTTGGCAACATAAGATTTTCCAGAACCAGGTGGTCCCCTTAATATAATAACTAATTGATTAGGACGATGAAATCTTCCAGGAGGACTTAACAAATCTTTAATTAGAACAGTTTCTCCCTTAATCTCTGACTGTGAAAATATTTCTGCTGGAGAATTACTAGTAAATTGATTATTAAATGAAACTGATAGAGGTACTTGATCACGGCTATGTTTATTTCTACAAATAAAAGAAATAATTTAAAACAATATACTTGAATTAACTATTTTATTAACTATAAGTAATTTAGTACCTGTCAATTGTATTTAATTCATCACGTGAATTATCTTTGCCTAAAACTTTTTCTTCTGAATGTTTATTAAAATCACGACGGCTCAGCCTTTCTTTATTTTTATCATCTTTACTTGTTTTATCTTTATCTTTTTCTCTTTCCTTTTCTGTTCTCTCTTTATCACGTTCTCTTTCTTTATCGCGTTCCCTCTCTTTGTCACGTTCTCGTTCTTTGTCACGCTCTCTTTCTCTTTCTTTATCACGCTCTCTTTCTCTTTCTCTATCACGTTCCCTCTCCCTCTCTCTATCACGATCTCTATCTTTCATGCGTTCTCTTTCTCTATCTTTTTCTTTAATCCAATCACGTTTTGGATCTCTGTTTCTATCTCTGCTTAGGCTTCTATCACGCTTATGTTCATAATCAAATATTGCTAAATAAAATAAATACATTAAAGTTTATAACTGCTTTAAATTTTATTCATTCATTAATTTTTTAATAAAGTTCAAACTGTGTGGAAGACTGGAACAAACATACAATAAAATAACATGCACCAAAAATTCTTAAATAAATTCTAGTAGAAGTTTACTGTAAGTAAACTTTTTATAAATGTTTTCAATCATTTGAAAAATGTTACAAAATGTTATATAGGGGTTAAGGAGTCATTTTGTATTTAGTACTTATGTATTCGGGCTGTCAATTTTTATTTATATTAGCATCTCACATGTTCTATTTTTCAAAATTTTTTATTACATAATGGTTATTTTTTGTGCATCCTAAATTAGAATGTCAGATCTGATGAAGATCTCTCAAAATAATCAAAAAGGTTTGTCCACAGTTTACTTGCATTAAACTTCTACCGAAATTTATTTAAGGTTCTTTGGTGTGTGTTAATTTTTTAATAATTCTAATCTAAAATCAAATAAAATAAACAAATTGAAATACAAATCAAAACAATTAAAAAATTGAAAAATATTCAATCATTTTATAAAATGGATTAAACAATTAAACTTATTTCATTTCTTCAATATTTATTATGAATTATTATGACAATATTTTTAAAATATTGATATAATAATTAATTGTGAAATGAAAATATTCCCCGACTTTCTCAAGTTTTTCCTGATTTCTAGATCAGTATGAACCCTAATGATGTATTTCAAATTATGAATGAAAAAAAATTACAAAAAAAGAAAGAAAAGATATGTGATGACAAAATTATAGAATACAAATATAATGGAGAATGAAGGCAGTATAATTGAGAATAAAGTTTGCAATTAAATTAGATCATCAATAAATCTTAAAAAAAAATTTTTTAACAAGTAAAAATTTATTTTAATATTAATTTTACCTTTTTCAATTTCACTGCCAGATGATTGTAAATCCTTTTTCTGACCATGTTCATAATCAAAGGTCTCAATCTTTGACTGAGAGAACAATACTGATGGTGGAGAAGTAAAAGCTACGAGATAAAAAATATATATATATATTGAAAAAATATGATCTGCTAATATTTTTATACTTTAATTTTTGTGAATAAAACATACAGATTGTTAAATATAAAAGTAATTTTAAATCTTTCCATATTTTGTATAACTCATTGTGAGGTTCCAAAAATGGGTTGGAATTAAACATTTATTATAGAAAATTATTAAAACGAACCTAGAAAAACTTCCAATGTAAAAACCAATCAAAGGTTGGATTAGTTGTACAAATCATATGAGACCAAGACAAAGAAAAAAAAAATACTATTAATGTACACAATAAATGTAAACGAACGTCCTCCAGTAGAGATGGATCTTTGACAAGGCGCTCGTATACAAGCAATTAGAACAGAAAATTTGGAAAAATGGGAAAGGTTAATTATAAAAAGAGACATTGTGTTGGGTCATTAAAATTCTAAAACATCATAGACTAAACAACAATGAGGTAAAATACGAGCGCAGGTTCCAAAGTTGCTTCCGTCCAGAGTTAATGGATGTGTCAGGTAGATTCTCCGAAGCGGACCTTTCTCATGACCTGAACAGGTCTTGTCTTTCACTTAGGGACAGACGAAGGACCAATCAGGGAGCAGGAAATGGAACATGGAGCCAATCAGAATGGACAGAAAGGGGAGAATGGAGATTGATAAAATTCCTGATCTTCAAGGTCACAAGGCACTTTGCAAGTCAGCACAATTAGTGAAGTCAGAAGCAAAAGGACACTGTGTGTCAACACATGTAAGACAGAGTTTTCCACACTTGTGCCCATCCAGAGAGCCATGCTGCCGACACCAACTAACACCATCCTCACATCTCTTCACCGTCATATATTACTCGAAGGTGGGCCACTGCCCCAGGGCCCACCTTCAAGCAACATTCAAAAAACACCCTCAACACTTAGGATATCCAAACAATTAATTGTTTAAACCAACTATTTGTGCATAGTGTAAGTTTATTTCCTGTTAAAATAAACGGGTTATGTGAGATACTTGTCATCCTTTGTCTCCTTCGCCACATGCAAATATTCCCTTAATCATCCTGATGTGGGATTAAACGATCCTCCCCTAAAAGTCAGCTAACTTACATCATCAAAACAAATGTAAAAATTTACTAATAAATTTTCTGTATAATAATAATAATAAACTCAATACTAATATCAAAGCCAAATGCATTTAAAGCATTTCCAGTACGCACATTGTCATTTAGAACTATACATTGAACATACACAGAACTAGAACAACTCCAAAGAAAAATATGAACAACATTAACAAAACACCATAAACACCACTCTAAGTTATCCATAGAAAGGCTGACTCTTCCGTGTAAAGAAGGAGGACAATCTGCACAATAAACAAATACAGACCCTATGAGAGTTTTTAAATAGAAAACAAGAATCATCATAATTACATGAAGCAGTAATTCATGCAGACAAAAACAGTAACCTTACACAACATTAACTAGGATTTAATACAGTACACAAAACTAATCAGGCAGTCTTGGATACAGAAGGAGCTCCACAGTAGGCACCCTAATGATCATGGCCAGGATCATATTGACAGCCAAACTGCTGGCTGACTCATGTATTTCTCTTTGGAGACAGAAGGGTTCAAAATTGCCATATAAAACCAGATCAAAAATACAGGAGTTGAGTGAAAAGTAGTGACAACACAACAATTGTCTGTAAAAATATTCATAGTGCAATCTTTTGATAAAATTGTAAGGAGTCTATTCTGAACCGTTCTATTTTGTTTGGAGATTATTTTAGTTTGTTATTCTATTTATTTTGGGGCATTTTATTTTGTTAAGGACAGACTACAGCACTTTCCCAAACAAAATTCTAAAAGTTAAAAACTCACCTTACAACAACTGCGGACAGAAAAAAATAAACTCATCATCCCAAAACGATATCTCAAGGTGGAAGACTTCCATGGGATGTTAAAAGAATGATTTCCCACCCCCAAATTGTCACCAGACAATACAAAAAAAAAGTATTATAAAATTGTGAGGGAGAAGACGTGAGGAAGAAACCTACTACTAGAACAAATAAAATGTTACTTTGTAATACTCATATATTGTACATACTTGATAAATAGAATATGATAAAAAACACACCTTTAACAATCCTACAAATAAAATTTACTAAAATAAAAATGTTTTCATTTGTTTTAACCGATCTTCCTCAGTTACAATAAAATAGAACGTGAAAATAGAATGTAAATTTAAAATAAATGAAAATGAGAATTCCGAAATAAATACATAAATAAATAACTGAAAATTTAGTTGTAGACAATAAAATAAATAATTACAGAAATAAAATAAACAACAAATAAATGTCTCTTAATAAAATTAATCTTCATAAAAAGACCACGATGCGATAGCCAATGTGACTACATCTCTATGGTTGATGCAACCGGTTCTTACTAAAATAAAAATGATCAAAAACGTTTTTATTTTAGTAAATTTTATTTGCTGGATTGTTAAAGGTGTGTTTTTTTTTTGTTACTTTGTAAATATGTAAATACGGTGAGTGGGCAAATACATTGTAACATCACCAAACCTGTCACATAAAAAGATGAAGAGATGATTCAGACAAGGTAAAGCTTAGATTCAAATGAGATGACGAGTGAACAACAAAAGGTTTCCAAGTTCCAATTCCAGGTTTTTTAAGACTGGAAACCAGTAACAGAGTTATTTATATATTTATTTTGTATTTGTTTTGGTGATACATAGTCAACTTTGTAAGATTTATTGCATTTTTTTTTTTAGACAGAATGGATTCCTATCTTTTTTGTCGATTGTGTGGAGATAGAATTAAGATAGTTCTAATTTGATTTAAGTTCCCAAATTGTTGGGAAGGTTTTGTACATATTTGTTTTGGTTTGATAAAATATCCTTTTTTTATTTTATAAAGATTTTCTAGCATTATTAAATTGCACATATATAAGCTTTACTATAATATACTTTAATAAATAGAATTTTTTATATTACATATAGTAATTCTTTCAACATTTGATTTTTAGTAATGACTAGAGTTATGGACTAGAGTTATTCATATGGTCAGTGACTATAATGAGTATAGTTATGTTCCATTCATGTCTAAATAAAGCATAATATGTGTTATACAACTGTTGTCACCACTATTCACTCAATCCATGTATAAAAAATCCAGCAATGAGTTACATGACTTTCCTCGCCAAACTTTAAAACTATATGTGGTACCATCTGTTATGAGATTTTATAAAAGCTTTTTATATTATTAATTATTGTAAAATGGTAAAAAGCTTAATTTTGAGGACTCATGAGTCTCATCAAAAATTGTAAATACTAATAACAAGTGAAATTTTAATTAACTCCAACCCTACTCAAGATATATATCCCTACCCTATTACCCACTCTCTTGACCTTTAACAACCAAAATTTAATAGTATCAATCTCCCTAATACACAAACCTCCCTGTACATTTTCAGACATTTTTGACAAAAGGCACAGGAGTTAAAGTGGGGGAACAAAATTGTACCCCTCACACATATACACTAACATTTATACTTATGCATATGGAAAAAATTTTCAAATTTTTTTTGCATTTCTTGAAGTTTCCAGATCTCAAGTCCAAAGATGCAAAAACCTTGGGGAGGTCATTTTTGACCAATCATTATACTTTCCCTCTGTTATACATAACAACCAGGAAATTAAAAACTGCAGAAAGTACATTTTAAAAAATACAACACTTACAAACAACATGTAGGAAATGCCACATCATGCACAAAACTATACAACACATCACATCAGGTTGCAAGCTTTTAGCCCAAACAGACTACCCATCAACATAATAAAATCAAAAGTTTGCACACAAAACCAAACTACTACATACCCAAGAACCGTACTACAAATACACACCTCAGATGTTCATAGAAAACAATACGCACAAAATACATTATGACCATGCCATAATCACAGACAAAACAATCCATCACAACAGACCAAACATCACATTTATTGTCTAAATGTACCATTTAATTATTTGCTAATTGTTAATCATATTAATAGGCTCCTCTACCAATTAATTGTTACCTGATGATTAATTCTCCAATAATTGGAGTAGTTAGTAAATAATTTTTCCAATGGAAAAAACATTATTGAGCTGCAATTTGAAAAAATTGTAGACCTATAAATTCCTACTGTCGTTCATTTGTCTGTCTATTCTTCTTTAATCTCAAGAACAGTATTAGATAGATAAAAATCAAGATCAGATTTGAAAAGCTTATGGGCAGGAGGCCCTGATTAACTATATACGAACTTATTTCAATGCAAAAATTTTCCCCTGAAAGGAGTTACGTAGATTACTGGCACAACTATTGCTAATAGGAAAAATATGACATACAGGGCAAGATACTACTAATTTGAGGTGGAAAACATATGTTCTCCACCTCAAATTAGTATATTTAGTATTATTATATTATTAATATAATTTAATTAAATTATGCTAATTTAATGTAATAAATTAGCTAAATAAATAAGTAATGTAATAAGTTAAATAAATTGAAAATATAATTAAAAATTTCAGTCCAGCTTTGTGATGATGTCCCAATAAAATAATTGCTTGTTTATATTCACAATATAAAAAATATTTATAAAAAACTAAAATGTCTTCAAGCATCTATTCTAATCATCAGGAACAAACAGTCTTCACTTCACAGAGATGACCTTTTATTGGTGGCTATTATTGTGCAGAGGCATAGCCTCCAATAAAAGGTCATCTCTGTGAAGTGAAGACTGTTTGTTCCTGATGATTAGGATGGATGCTTGAAGACATTTTAGTTTTCTTCTAAGTATTTTTTATATTGTGAAATATACCATCTGCCTTTTTAAATTTAATTTAATCTATATTTGTTTAGATGTATACCTATGCTAAAAAGCATTTTGGACCTATTGGCCCCTCTTTAGTTAGCTTTTCTTATATACATAAAAATTAACTTTTGACTAACATTTATAAAATACTTTATAAAAAAACTTTTTATAAATTTTTAATAAAACTATTGACACATTATGACTTCACGAAATCACATACATCACAGTACAGAAGGCTTCATACTAGACACAAGTCACGGGAAATTCTTAAACACAAATCACACCCTCCTGTGACAGCACTGTTAAACAGTGCAATGCCATCTCCCAAACCCCCAAACAGAGAACAGTCCCACTCATTCAGCCCCAACATCTCACAATTTGATGAAATGTTTGAGATGATATTGCACTGGTCTATTTAGCAGTGTTACTGCACGCAGTATGGCCACATTGTATGAATTAATTACTGAGTCAGAGCAGAGGTGCAGAGTACTCCATGACCTGTATACATTAATATCACAGTAACACAGAAGTGAATGTAAATTTGAGTGTTATAACTCAGTTCTCTTCTAATAACAGTTCTATTTACCCTACTGTTACTCAACACTCCCATGTTAAACAGCCAAAAGCTGCCCCTGATGCCACCATTATCATAATAATAACGATTATATAAAAAGTTTCTTTTAAGCTTTATTTTCTTTCATTAGGTGTAATTTAAGGCAGGTAATTAATTCACAACAAAGAAATTATTCTAATATGGTTCTTATAAATAAAATTAAGTAATATATATTGAAAAAATTTATAAACAAATAAGACCAAAATAACCTTATAAAATCCTTAAAAGTAATTAACTGTATGCTTTAAAATCACAATTAATAATAGACTCAAATGAGTACAAGTTCAACAGCGTAGAATCTAATGTGGCTATTTCCCAAACAAAATTTAAAACGTATTGTATTATGCAAACTTTGTTTCAACAAAGTTTACACCATTGTTATAAAAAGAAGTCCTGTACTTTCAAACCAATATTTTCTTTAATTTATTGATTATAAAAGTCACTGAAAAAAGACAAAATATACAAAAATATATATATATATATATCAATAATTTACCTTGTTTAAAACCAGTGTCACTCAAATTTAAAATGCAGGTTCCAAACTTCGTCAAGAAATTTTCACCAACTACTAATGCTGCTGGTTTATGTCCATAATCTATTTCTATTGGTTTCGATTTGGAATTTCCACTAATGTCACAAAATTTTCCTCTCTGTTCTGAATTTTGATCAGAGTAAGATTCATCAAAAAAGAAAACTCTTTCATCTTCGAATCTGTTTTATAAAATTTTATTTTATATTTAGAATTAAAAGTAAAAATAAATATTTTAAAAATAGTAAAATGACTAACAAAGTTTATTATTAATAAATTTGGTAAGTTTTGCCATTTATAAATAATACCAAAATTTTTAACATGGCTCCAATACTACACACTGTATATTTTGTACCTATATATATATGTTACAGCTAAAGCCCATGAATCAGATAAAACTAGGATTAATTGGCTAATGCTAACTTCACCCTGCAAGTTTGTAAGTTAAAGCAAGTAGCAATCTATTAATTCTGACTTTATCTAAATAATAAAATTATATATGTATATAATAATATATCTTTATCTATAAAAATGCAGATAAAGTTGACATTATCTGTTTTTATATTAATGTCTCAAATAAAGGTAGTATTGCAGTATATTTTCCAATGAGTGTGTGTCTTTGTAAGAATTTTTAAGACACCTATGATGTATTTGTCTTCAATTGTATTTATTAATATAATGTAGTTTACAAATTTTTTGAGAAGTTTATCATAGGCATAAAAAATTACCAGATTGAAAAAATTGCTGCTTTACTGCCAATTGGCTTGTATTGATAACATAGCAATAAATTGCCAAACCTGGTAGCATTTCTCTGTTTTTCTGCATGTTGACTAAAAAACAGTAAGTTCAGGCCCAAAAAACATAACATCTATATTCAGCTCTATCCACATTTCATGAACAAAGCCTGAATTTTAAGTTTTGTTCATGCTTCATTCATTCATTTTTGGATAATTACAGCTTTATACACCTTGTGACTTGGATAAAGTTAGCATTAACCAGTTAATCCTAGCTTTATCCAATTCATAAGCTTTAGCCATAACATATATATAAAATATATTAATATCATAATGTTAGAAATAATTTGTTTATATACACATACACACTCACTTTATATATACTGTATATACACTGAACTGGATTAGGAACACCATGCCATCATCATCTTGGAAATGGTACAGGGATTTCCTTAATTGCCATGTCTCAACTGTAATTTGCTGCAGTTGAGACATGTTGGCCTGTGATTTGTATAGCAGAAAGCAATACTTGCTGGTCATAGGTAAATGAGGTAACTTGAGCACAAACAGATCATTGGGGCATGGAGGGTTGGTGCTAGTATTTCCGTGATGTCCAGGGTATACCACAAGTATATGAATTATGCACAAACATCCATCAGATCACACAGTAGCCAGCCATGTGTGATTGATCCCAGAGGTCATGTTTAGGATCAATTATACATGGCTGCTGCTGTATCAAGACTGGTATCTGAACAAAGAAATGCCACAGAGGAACAGCTTACCCACCAGTACATTAGTGAACAAGGCAAATGTGTTTTGACAATGACCATGCAACATACCTTGCATTGACTGAAGTTCAATAGCCATGCTAGCCTGTCAAATGCACAAATCATTGCAAACAATGTCTTGCATGGGCAAGGGAAAGACACCGTTGGACCTGGGACAAGTGAAAGGAGGTCCATTTCATGCTGAATCATGTTGATGGCCAGGTCCAAATCTGACATAAACACCATGAAGCCGCATTCCTTGGTTGCATAGTTAGGATTACAGAAGCTGGTGGTGGCAGTATCATGATCTGGGGAGTGTTCTTTTGGCAATGCCTAGAGCCATTGATTATCCTCCCACAGTCCTTGAATAATGAACAATATAGGGACCTGTTTAGGTTATCAGGTTATCATCTGTACCATCATTTCTAAAATTTTTTGCTCACGCAACCCAATATACTTCTTTGTAATGGTTCCGTAACGCATACATTTATAATATAAAATTTTTAAAAAACTTGGTAAACTGAAGTTACTGTATATTATATAATGAAATAAAATTATGCATTATCAATAAGTTTTGCATGTGAAATGTAACATCGAGTACATTTCTATTAAGAATAGTTCAGGCCAATTTTGATTTGTAACAACTTACTTCAATTTCAGTTATTATTATTGAAATTTAACTATTGAAAAAATGTAAGATTGACGATTGTAAGTAAAACAGATTGTTTCAAAATTATTCAAGGGTCTATTTTACTTTGAAAAATATTACAAGTTTCTTCTACAAACTTAATAAATCCTTTTTTAAAATGTACTGTACTTTTCAGACTGTAAGAAAATTTTGTCAATTTCATTTTATATATATATATAAAATCATGAATCCACTTGAGCCAAAATTCATCTGCTATTTGTTTTATAATTTACTGTTATGTATGACAATAAACCTAAAATTTTGAATAAACAAGGAAACATTTTCAAAACAATTACAACTTAAATGGCTTTATAACTATGACTTTACATAAAATATCTATTTTGGTGTTATTCAAAATAAAAAACAGAAATCAATTTCATATATACATATTCAATAGTCTTTATTTTATTACTAAATGACAATAATAATTATAAGAAAAGTTATTAAAAGTTTTCTGTATTTAACAGATGCATCTGTTGTTCTTAATTCTCAGAAAATATTTCAATAATACAGGTATTACAAGTATTTCTGCAGAAGGTAAAATATTTCATGACCCATTAAAATTTTAATGTAACCCAATATTGGGTCATGACATATAGTTTGAGAAATGCTGATCTGTACCATATCTCCAGGCTATGTTTCCTGATAACAATGCCATGTTTCAACACAATAACACACTGTGTCACTAGGGGAGGCTCACTCAGAAATGGTTGGAGGAACATGACAATGAATTCCATACCCTACCTTAGCCCCAAACTCACCATCCTGCAACCTGATAGATTATGTTTGGAATATGCTGAAATGTGTGGTGAGGTTTCACCCACTCTTCCAATAAATATGAACCAACTGACAGAATTGTTGAGGCAGGCATGGATCCAGAACAGTCATGGATTAAGAACAGAGGATTTTGGTATATGGTAAAGTCCATGCCCCAATGTTTGCAAGTTGTGATACTTAGAAAGGTGGACCAACCCGTTATTAGACAGAAGTTCCTAACGTAGTGATCATTCATTATATGTAAAGGTTGTATGTATATGCTAACAACTGCACATTATACAGGGTGGGGAATAATGGAGTTCCACATTTATGAGATGAATTAAAGGTTTTTTTTGGTTAAGTTTTAAAAATGATGTTGTCCCACTAGGTGGTGCAAATGAGAAAGTTGTCAGCAGTCAACATGCTGTGATTGGGTGAACAACGAGGCCAGGTCATGGAGGCTTTTATCAAAAACACTGAATCTGTGACTGTGACACAGGGCATTTCACACGTGTTTTCGTTTAAATGCAAAAGAAAAGTGTTCCTGATCGGAGAACAATTTTGAAATGGGTCCAAAATTTAAGGACAACAGGATCTACAAATCCTAAAAAGCCAGTTGGGCATCCCAGATCCATGAGGACACCTGCAAACATCGGCGCACTCAGAGCATCGATAGAGCAGTCTCCAACATGTTCTGCTCAAAAACATGCCCCCGGATGATTCCAGGTCGACTAATCTCTTTACAAGAAGCCGTTGAATGGCCCCCTCGCTCCTGATTTGAGTCCATGACTTTTTCTTATTCGGGTATCTCAAGGCAGAGGTTTTTAAACATCGCCCTTGAACCCTACAAGAACTCAAGGAGGCCATTCATGAGGAAATCGCAAAAATTCCTCCAGATATGCTGTTGAGAGTTGAAGAAAACTTCAAGGAATGGCTCCAAATGTGCATCGCCCATAAAGGCCAACATTTGGACAACATCATTTTTAAAACCTAACCAAAAATAACTTTCTTACATGTACTTTGATTAAATAAAAAGTTTTTTCCATATTATTGTACCGTTTTTTTAAGTACTATCCTGTACTAACTGTAAGATATATTTTTCAACAAATGTGCTACTGTAATTTCCTGTGTACAATCTATAGAAGCATATATCCATCCTTCTGGCATATAACTGCAAAAAATTTCTAAAATTGAAATAAAACCTTCACATAACTTGTGTCACAATATAACCTGCATCACCAAGGTGATAATTGAAAATATGATACCAGTATTCAGTTTGGAAGATATAGTCATCTGAGATATTCTGTTTTTTCTTTGTTTCTTTCATTTAATTTACATTAGCAGTTCATTGTAGATATAATTATGAAATAAGGGAAAAAACTGATGTAGTAATGTTTAAAACAAGGGAAATGAAATATTTAAGATAGCATCATCAATAAATGGCCACTAAATTACAAATTTTTAAAATCTATGTCACTTGTTTTATTTAATCAAATAATGTAAGCTGGAAAAAATTAAATTAAAAAAAAATGTTAATTTTAATAATATCCAATGACAAAGTTTGAGAGCTGATCACTTATTCATATTTGCTATAAAGAATAACATAATAATATCAACAGTCAGTTTCTAAACAGTTCCCTAAGAATTATTAGATAAAGAGGGAAATTACTGGAAAGTTAATTAGATATAGGATCATTGTTTAGAGTTCTTCTCCAATGTACGCAATCCACACCCTTCAGATATTGCTAAACGATTTATTCAATCATTTTTATACCTTAAAAAAACAGATTTGACTCCTTTGTAGAAAAGGGCTGCAGAATTACAATTTAATAAGAAGTAAAATACATCACAAATGGATACAAGGGATTGTGTTGGGATTGTCACCTGCGGACATTTTAAACTGTTTTGCATATTTGTGCAGAGACATAGCCTCTAAAGAAAGGTTGTCTCTGCAATGGAAATAGTTGTTCCTGGTGATTGGACATGGCAAGCAAAATTAAACTCGTATCCATTTGTGATGTATTTTACTTTTTATTAAAGATTTGACTCCATTTATATTTCCAAATGTCACGTTAACATGATTTATTTATTACAGTCAAATCAATTTAAGAGAGCACCCTCAAGATTAATGCATCATGTTCCCTTATCCAAAGTAACAAGATCATCCATGGGGTTGTTAATGGCATTCAATTCTCTCCACTCTTTCATGGCTTAAGAGTTCTATGTAACTTATCATTTGAAACTATTAAAATTTATGATTACATAATTTTACTATACTTACACATATTACCATTCTTATATCATCAGTTTTACTCTTATATTGATTAATCAATAAACACAGTATATTTATCAGTCACAGTTACTTTTACTTCCTTCTAGAAATACAGTAAGAGACCTAGCTGAAAAGATGTGCTCCAAAATTTCTGAATGCTCTTTAATGAGATATACAGTATAAAAATACGTGCAGTACTGCCTTAAAGTCATATGACCGCTGATATCTTGTCGCTAATCACTTCTGGCTTTGTTCCCTCAAAA